CATGTCACATACAGCCAATTCCCTTCTATCTGTGCAGTCCTTCGTTATCAAGAATATGTAGCCCAGTGTAGCCGCTTTAACCTCTCCATAATGTCCATTTTAGGGTTTCTTTAGGACGTCCTCACTTCCTCAATCCCGTCATTTCTTTTTTAAGTGCATCAGTGTGTACATGTATGAGTATCTGCATCAGTGTGTACATGTATGAATATCTGCATCAGTGTGTACATGTGTAAGTATCTGCATCAGTGTGTACATGTATGAATATCTGCATCAGTGTGTACATGTATAAGTATCTGCATCAGAGTGTACATGTATGAGTATCTGCATCAGTGTGTACATGTATGAGTAGTTGCATCAGTGTGTACATGTATGAGTATCTGCATCAGTCTGTAAATGTATAAGTATCTGCATCAGTGTGTACATGTATGAGTAGTTGCATCAGTGTGTACATGTATGAGTATCTGCATCAGTGTGTACATGTATGAGTAGTTGCATCAGTGTGTACATGTATGAGTATCTGCATCAGTGTGTACATGTATGAGTAGTTGCATCAGTGTGTACATGTATGAGTATCTGCATCAGTGTGTACATGTATGAGTATCTGCATCAGTGTGTACATGTATGAGTAGTTGCATCAGTGTGTACATGTATGAGTATCTGCATCAGTCTGTAAATGTATAAGTATCTGCATCAGTGTGTACATGTATGAATAATTGCATCAGTGTGTACATGTGGGTGTATCTGAACCATATTTGTATCAATGTGTACACGTGGGTGTATCTGAACTGGCCTGCACATATATAAATGCATTTACAGGCGTATATATTTTGCCTGTGTGCTACACATGTGAAGGTTTCTAGAAATGTAATCCCATACACCTTCTCACGCCAGTTATGGGGCCCCACTTTAGACAAAAACACTGACCTACTGCCTCTTAACAAGCATGCTGTAAAAGGTGCAAATAGTTAGGGTGTGGTGAAATTTGTTGAGCCGGAAGTGCAGATATCGCAGCCTAGCTGTAAACCGCAACACAATATACCAATTGCAACTTCTAGGGGCAAATAAAGAACAAGTGATAGAAAAAGAATCAATGACAAAGAAGAAGAAGGGGATAAAAAGATTGAAGGCAAAAAGGAGAAAAATCCTGGGCAAAAAAAATCTACTCTTGTTTATTTTCAATCAAAAACAACACCAACAAAAATATAAAGCATTCAGCATTACTTTTAGGGGCAAATAAAGAACAAGTGACAGAAGAAGAACAAGTGACAGAAGAAGAATTGACGACAAAGAAAAAGAAGGGGATGAAAAAGTCAAAGGCAAAAATGAGAAGAACAAATCCCAGGCTACAAAATCTACTCATGTTTATTTTCCATCAAAAACAACACCAACAAAAATATAAAGCATTCAGCATTAGAACAATGTAAAATATTTATATATACATTTAATTTCATTTTTGTTAAAATTGACGAAAGCAGTATTCTACATCAAATGCACCAGAAATACTTCTCACAACAATTCTTTTTTACAGTGGTAGCTAAAAGTTTAAGACCACCACGTAATTTATTTGTCCATATGGTTACGGAGGATTGTACCCACTGCTACTGGAAAGGCTAACCCAGAAAACAAATTTCTGAAGAAATCTGATGTGTTGGCCAAAAGGTGCAAATATCACAGCTATGCTGCAAACAGGCCCAACACAATTACATCACTTGGAGGAACAGTGAAGAAGAAAATCCACTGCTTTTTAAGAGCCCACTAAGGGAAATTATTGCAACTGACGTGTTCCTCATTACAGCCATAGTTCTACTTAAAATAGCAGCTGATGAAATAGTCTCCAAAACTGTAAAAATAACAGTTAGCTAGGCGGTCTTAAACTTTTGACCACAACAGTACAGCTATGTACAAGAACAACTCAAAATAAGAGGAATGCCCAACAAGATTACTTTGTATGTCAACTTTAAAAAAAAACAAATGATAAATATGAACCCAGAAAAGAAACACACTGGGACTTCCCCATGTTGCTGGGGTTCATAAGTGGAAACCCAGAAAAGAAAAACACTGGGACTTCCCCATGTTGCTGGGGTTCACAAGCGGAAACCCAGAAAAGAAACACACTGGGACTTCCCCGTGTTGCTGGGGTTCATAAGCGGAAACCCAGAAAAGAAACACACTGGGACTTCCCCCATGTTGCTGGGGTTCATAAGCGGAAACCCAGAAAAGAAACACACTGGGACTTCCCCATGTTGCTGGGGTTCATAAGTGGAAACCCAGAAAAGAAACACACTGGGACTTCCCCATGTTGCTGGGGTTCATAAGTGGAAACCCAGAAAAGAAAAACACTGGGACTTCCCCGTGTTGCTGGGGTTCACAAGCGGAAACCCAGAAAAGAAACACACTGGGACTTCCCCATGTTGCTGGGGTTCATAAGCGGAAACCCAGAAAAGAAACACACTGGGACTTCCCCATGTTGCTGGGGTTCATAAGCGGAAACCCAGAAAAGAAACACACTGGGACTTCCCCATGTTGCTGGGGTTCATAAGTGGAAACCCAGAAAAGAAACACACTGGGACTTCCCCATGTTGCTGGGGTTCATAAGCGGAAACCCAGAAAAGAAAAACACTAACATTCTTTTTTTTGTGGTTTAATGATTGAGGACTGGTCTATAGAAAGTGCCATCTCTCTGAAACTAAACTACTTCCACCATATTCTTTCTGGCCTTAATCTCCTATGTTTATATTTATCCAACTTATCAACATCATGGCACACGGGTGTAACCCACAAGTGCTCCGTTCTACTTCTAACTCAAGCATTAATCCATTAACCACCCAATGGCCACAGCCCCTCAACCAATACAGCAATTTTTCTTATTTTGCTACCGCACGTATCAGGAGCGTTCATTTGAAATCCATTCCCAAGGATTTATCATAAAAGCTTGAAAGAAACATTAACAGGTGAGGCAGAATTAAACAAAGCAATAATTTTGAAATGTATTATGCAATACAGTTGGTCAGCAAAGGTCGCTGAAGGTATTCCGGCAGGACAGCCTTCCATCACTGCTCTTTGGACAGATTTTGGTAAACAGGACCTACGCATCACGGGGTGATAAGCCTGTGCTTGTTTTCATTTACCGGTCAGTTCTTATAACTACAACATGCGCATGTTTAATGCAAGCAATTATGTGCAGTGCAGGTCTCAAATGAACACTCCTAAAAGCTTACTCCATGTCTACTCTAACTTTTCACTACCCTCTCTAGTTCCCTTCTCCTTGTTTTACTTTTTTTTTTAAATCTGCTTTTATTCCTTTGACCCTGTGGGTTCCAGTTGAGGGACATTCTAATGATATATTTTTTTCAATGTGTTCTCAAAGTTTTTTGGGGGGGAAATTACTAGTTAAAAAGAATACCTGCCCAGGACTGGAGGAATTTGGAGGCCTCGGAAATATACGAATGGATCTATCCATAATGATCCAAATTTGTCATGCAACAGTTCTGACACTCCATAAATGTGAGTTGGAAGCTAGTGGATCTTCCGATATGCATCAATAATTACAAAAATAACAAAGTTTAAGTCAAAAACACATGAAATGTACGAGTGACAACAGTAATGCTGTTTGTACAAGTTAAAATACATTGTTCCAGGGCTTGCACATGTAATACTAAACCATATGTCATGGAGAGATAACTATCATAAAGAGATATCTATAGAAAACTATCATAGTGAGAAAATGACCAAAGAGAGAAAAACTATATGATAGGTAACTACCACATAAAGAAAACTATTGTGGAGAGAAAACTACATAATAGTTAACTATCATTCAGAGAAAACGGAGATAGCTATCAGGAAATATCAATCAATCAGGTGCCATCTCCCCAATGAAGGTTGGCTGCAACAGATCTCCAACATCTTCTGCCTCTTGTTTTGGTTGTACACTCTCCCAAACTGCTGTTCGTCCATCTCTTGGTATTGTCCTCCCACATGTAACATTGTCTACCTCTAGCTGTCTTGCTCTAAACCTTTCCCTCCAGTATGATTTTTTAATATGGAAAAAAATATTTCAAATCTCTCTTCTTCTTTTTGTGTGTGTATTTCTTTCAATAATTCTATTTCGTCACGAAGAGATAACTATATGATAGTTAACTATCATAAAAACTATTATGGACAGATAACTATATAATTATCATACAGAGAAAACTATCATTGAGAGCAAATTATTCGGGAGAGATAACTATCATTTAAAGTTTCAGGAAGAGAACTATGATAGTTCACTATCATATAGAGAAAACTATCATGGAGATATAACTATCATGTTCAATAAACAACAATATAATACAAGTAATAACTTCAAAAGCATCATAAAAACCCCCCAACTGAATCTTTGCAGTCACAAATGCAGCTCTCTTAACACGCTTGATTCAAAAATGTGAAGCCATATTTTTAGAAATCACTTACAGTCAATGAGCAGCTTCAGGAGGGGGGGGGGGCTAAACTCTCACCTGCCAGCCCACAGGTTACTGGTTTGAATTCGCATCGAATTGCTCAAAGGCGCACCCAGCCTTAAATGGGCAGCAGGTTATGTCCGAGGAACTAAAGGTAGGATGACCACATCCTACAGGGAGGCCTGATTGGCCTGTAAAATATCTCAAGTGATGACGTTTATGTGTTCAACTAAAATATTTTTTTAAAGAAATGGCAACAAAGAAGCTAAAACAAATTAATAGGATGGCAACATACGAATACACAGGGCAGGTGTAGTCGATTTAAACATCTAAGAGAGTTGACGTTTTCACCCTGTTCATGTTTACTGATTACCCCTTTATATCTTTCATATTTTTCGAAGAGAAAAAAAAAAAAATTAGTAACCAGTGTAATATGGTTATGTTTTTGAAGTATTTCTTCCCGGCGAGAATTTCCATGGGTTTTAGACCCATTTTGTTTCCACATTCGCAGGGTAAAGGGTTAAAACAGCTGTGGCCAAATACTTAGCCCGCCTGCAAACTAGTCTACTTGTTTGATCCAGTCGGTGATGGGGACATCATCATCTGGTCTTGGCTACTGCCCTGGTTACCTGCACCTGGAAAGAGACGTCAAATGTGCCAGTTAGAATTGTTATCACTTCTTCTTCACTTCCTCTTTTACCGCTGTGGGTGTCGAGGGAGATATAAGGTTCTGTCTCTAGCTCTTCTGGCCGCCTCGACCATAGGCACAATGTGCTGTTGTAGAGTTTCTCTGATGTTATCCTTCCATCTTGTTCTTGGTCTACCCCGTGCTCTACGTCCTCCTTCTCTTTCCATGTATGCTTTGTATGGTATGGTGTCACAAGGCATTCTCTCTAAGTGGGCAAAACATTTAACCTGCTGTCTTCGTATGTAATTTAGAATTGATTCTGTGCCAACTTTTTCTCTCATTCCTGATCTTATCTCTTATGGTCACTCCTACAGCCCTTCTCAGACATCTCATCTCCATGGTTACTAATTTTCTTTTATGATTTGTTGTGAGTGACTATGTCTGGCACTGGTAGCACAGAGTTGGAATAAATATGCTTTGAATAAAATGTCTCTTTGTGCTGATTGGGATTGTCTTATGCTAGCAGTCCCAATACTTGGTTTGCTTTACTGCATCTAATGTTAATTTCTGTATCCAATTTCCCATCTTCGGTAAATGTAGTTCCCGAGTAATTTTAAACTCAGATGCCTGTTTAATGCCTTTGTATTCTATTGCTATGTTTAGATCTGTCTTCTTTTTTCCTATTGACATTACTTCTGTCTTTTCAGTGTTGATTCTCATATTATTTGTTTTACATTCTTCATTCATGGATGTTAGATGTTGCAATTTCATGGCTGTATCTGCTATCAAGGCCTGATCATCTGCAAAGAGTAATTCGTTGATCTTACTAACATTTTCATTCATGGGCTTGGCATTTTTGCATATATTGTCGATGTAGGTGATAAACAGCAGTGGTGATAAGACACACCCCTGTCTTACTCCAGATGTTACTGTGAATGTTCCCTGATTTATTCTAACTACACTTCTACAATCCCTGTATAAACTTTTGCACACTTCGATGAGGTATTTGCTTACTCCATATCTTGCCATTACTTTCCATAATACTCACCGAAACGATCCTAGGATGCTTGTTTTGCTTTCTTGACACTCCTGTTGGTTTCTCTCCTTTGCAGTCTATAGTTTATACAATCTTCTTCTTTCTTTGATTTTATCCACTGTTTATATAAGTTCTTTTTCTTTTTAATTGCATCTTTTACTTCTTCGCACCACCAAGGTGACATTTTTTAATTTTCCTGTCTGTTTTCACTCTTCCGTTTTCCACATAATTCTACTGCAATACTAAGTATAGTGTTTTTATATTTACTCCATTCTTCCTCAATATTGCCAACTACATGTGGAAGTTGTTTAAATGCTGTCTCTACTTTCTGTTGTAACTGTTCTTTTACTACTTCCTGTTTCAGATTTGCTATCTTGACGAGATCCTTGTTTTTGGTTAATTTCTTTTTGTGTTTCTTTAATGTAAAATGTTTTGCTGTTAACACAACTATTTTATGGTCAGTCTCACATAGACCATTAGGGATTGCTCTTGAATCAAGAATTCTTCTTCTTCCTTGAACTCTGGTTAGTATAAAGTCAATCTGGCTCTTGATGGAGACATCATTCCATGTGTACCAAGTGTAAAGTTGTGAATCTCTATGGTCAAAGAATGTGTTCGTAATAAAAAGATTGTGCTGTCCTTCAATATTCTTTGACCATTTCCATTTCTATCACTGTTCTTAGCTGCATGTGGACCTAGAAACTGTTCGTATTCTCTTCTGTTATTTCCTACCCTCCCGTTGAAGTCACCCATTACATATAGTATGCTGCTTCCCTCAACTTTCTCTATCTCATCAGACAGATCGTCAAAGAATTCATCTTTCTGCTCTTCTGTATAATTATCATTGCATGGTGCATATATCTGTATATATGTTTCAGCCTGTTCTCCTCTTTTAATTTTCAAAGTGTTATCACTGACTGCTCTAAATAAAGGCTGTAAAATCAGTGTACTCCTGTACCAACATAAAGACAATGTCAATCACATATTTGTTTATTCGGCGGATCAACATCATATCACACGGGCGTAACCTATAAGTGCTCTATTCTACTTCTTACTCAAGCCTGAGTCTCAAGAATCTCAGACCAGTGCACAAACTCCGTATCACCGACGAGAATCCTGAAATACTTTGGGTAGAATTTTAACTTCAAATTTAGCCTAAGCAGTGCTGCTAGGCTACTCTTTTTGATTTCCAACTGCCAAGGGATTTTTTACGTGCGCAAGAATGCATGCAAACGTCCGAGAGACCAGGGAATTCTTCTTCTTCTTGGTGTTCACCGGCTGTAAACTATGGCCAAAGGTTCTGGTGGTTCATCCACTTCTGGACTCTGGTCTTGTTACAGAACTTAAGTTTGACTGCACATTCGTATTACAGATCTGGCATATTTTTTATGCAGACTGTTGGTTCCTCACAGAAAGGAAGGAAAGAGAATGTGGAAGAGATGGAGGGGAAAGAGAAATGAAGGCAAGAGAAAGAGGGGAAAAGAGAGTTGGATGGAAGGAACGAGAGAAATTAGAAAGAAAATAGAAGTAGAAAGAAAGGAGTCACAGGAAGAAGAGATAGAGATCGTGGGCGAGAGGTAAGGGAGAAGAGAAAGGAAGGAAGGACAAAAAGGGAAGAAGTGGAGAGAGCGATGGAAAGAAAGATAAAATGGAGAGGGGAGAGAGAGAGAGAGAGGGAGACAAAAACAGTCAAAAATCAAAAAGGCAGAAAAGGGAGAGAGAATTGGATGGCCAAGCTGGCAACTTTTCAGTCCCAGAAGATCAGATGGAAATTAAAGACAACAGCCAAATGTAAAGCGCACTGTTTTCAGCGTAAAGCCATACAGTAATCATACTAACTTACCTGGCATAAAGGGTCTTTGAACAGCATTTCCTGGTTGTGGCTGGGGGCCTCCTTGATACTGTCCAGGGTACGGCTGTACAGGCTGGTTGGGGTAGTGAGTCACCGAGGGCCCGGATGGGGCACCCCCATTGAAGGGGGAGTAGCTTTGCTGGTTGATACCCAAATGTGGAGGCATGAACTGACCCTGAGGGGGCCCTGAGTGGGGTGGGTACTGATTAGAATGGCCTATGTAACCGGGGTAATGACCTGCTGGTTGTTGGGGGTACTGTTGAGGTGGGGTGGCCCCCGGGTTCACTTCTAATGGGTGAGGCTGGTAGGCCTGGGGCCCCCCTGACGGATACTGAGGTCCGCCTTGAGCCAGCTGAGACCCACCCTGAGAAAACAAACCTGGAGGGGGAGAGGGGTCTTGCTGAGGGTCCCCATACTGTGTTGAAGGGGGATAGCCCTGCCCCATGGGGCCCTGTTGTTGATACTGTGGGTGCATTTGCTGCTGCTGCTGTGGTGTGGGCGTCCCACTAGGGTTTTCCAAAAGTGGCGGGGTCAAGGACTGAGACGATGACTGGAGGGCTTGTGCAATGGCCGGGTTGGAAGCGGGAGGCGGAGGTGTGGGCGGCTGGGTGGAAGAGGTAGGTGTTGCTGAAGGGGTCGGCTGAGGAATGGTGGTGGATGATGCACCTGATGATGATGTTGTGGCATAAGCCGATGACAACGGTGGTGTTGCGGTTAAAGATGGCGAAGGAGAAGCTGCTGGTGCAGACGGTGCAAAAGATGAAGATGGGTTGGTCGTGTGAGTAGGGGAACCTTGAGCTACTTGAGATGCTTGTACCTGCAGAGACCAGAGGACAACAAGTCATAAACTCACAATGTCAACAATTCTGTGTTGCCACCTGTTACAGTGTTAACAGCTGTGTAAAAAATACTGTGTAAAAAGTACAGTGTAAAAAGTAGTGTAAAAAGTACAGTGTAAAAAGTACTGTGTAAAAATTAGTGTAAAAAGTACAGTGTAAAAAGTACTGTGTAAAAAGTAGTGTAAAAAGTACAGTGTAAAAATTACTGTGTAAAAAGTAGTGTAAAAAGTACTGTGTAAAAAGTACAGTGTAAAAAGTACTGTAAAAAGTAGTGTAAAAAGTACTTTGTAAAAAGTACAGTGTAAAAAGTAGTGTAAAAAGTACAGTGTAAAAAGTACTGTGTAAAAAGTACAGTGTTAAAAGTAGTGTAAAAGTACAGTGTAAAAAGTAGTGTGTAAAAAGTAGTGTGTAAAAAGTACTGTGTAAAAAGTACTGTGTATTAAGTAGTGTAAAAAGTACAGTGTAAAAAGTACTGTGTATTAAGTAGTGTAAAAAGTACCGTGTAAAAAGTAGTGTAAAAAGTACAGTGTAAAAAGTACTGTGTAAAAAGTACAGTGTAAAAAGTAGCGTAAAAAGTACTGTAAAAAGTAGTGTAAAAAGTACTGTGTAAAAAGTACAGTGTAAAAAGTACAGTGTAAAAAGTACTGTGTAAAAAGTAGTGTAAAAAGTACTGTGTAAAAAGTACAGTGTAAAAAGTAGTGTAAAAAGTACAGTGTAAAAAGAACAGTGTAAAAAGTAGTGTAAAAAGTACAGTGTAAAAAGTACTGTGTAAAAAGTAGTGTAAAAAGTACAGTGTAAAAAGTACTGTGTAAAAAGTACAGTGTATTAAGTAGTGTAAAAAGTACAGTGTAAAAAGTACAGTGTAAAAAGTACAGTGTAAAAAGTACAGTGTAAAAAGTACAGTGTAAAAAGTACAGTGTAAAAAGTACAGTGTAAAAAGTAGTGTAAAAAGTACAGTGTAAAAAGTACAGTGTAAAAAGTACAGTGTAAAAAGTACAGTGTAAAAAGTACAGTGTAAAAAGTACAGTGTAAAAAGTACAGTGTAAAAAGTACAGTGTAAAAAGTACAGTGTAAAAAGTAGTGTGTAAAAAGTAGTGTGTAAAAAGTACAGTGTAAAAAGTACAGTGTAAAAAGTAGTGTGTAAAAAGTAGTGTGTAAAAAGTACAGTGTAAAAAGTACAGTGTAAAAAGTACAGTGTAAGAAGTACTGTGTAAAAAGTACAGTGTAAAAAGTACTGTGTAAAAAGTACAGTGTAAAAAGTTTATTAGTAATTGCCCTAGTTGTTCTCAAAATGTTTCCGCTCCATACAACAAACAGGACTGAACTGACACTAGAATTTAATTTTTTAGTTTACTATTAGTTTTAATTTCTGTTGACCTCCACAAGTTTCCTAGTGCTATGAAAGCTCCTCTTGCATTTTGTATTTGTATTTTAACATCTTTATCAGTTCCCACATCTTTATCTACAATACAGCACATATAGGTGTACGACTGCACGTCTTGGGAGGGGATTACATTAAGAGAAACCATACTACTATCTGTCTGAATTAGTCTCATTATATTTATCTTTCACTTATGGATTTTCAAACCTAGCCGTTGTGACCTCGCTCTCAAGTATTTTTAATTTATCTTGCATCTGATTCCGTGAGTGGGACAGAAGAGAAATATCATCAGCGAAGTCCAATTCATCAGCTGTTTTTGCAGAAGTCCACTGAATTCCATTGTTGGTGTTGGCAGTTGCTGTCTTCATAATCCAGTCTACTGCCAGTAAAAACAGGAGAGGCGACAAAAGACATCCCTGTCGCACAGCCGTTTTTATTTCTGAATTACATTTTCAAATGTATCTGCTTTCCCTGATGAAAAACTCGACATTTCATGTCTTTATATGTTGCCTTTACTAAGTTAATAATTTTCTGTGGGATTCCATAGTGCCCCATTAATTTCCAGAGAGATTCCCTATCAATGCTGTCAAAAGCTTTCTCATAGTCTATGAATCCAATGTAAAGTGGTGAACTGAATTCAATGTTTCGCTCCTTCATATCTTCTTCTGACATCTCACTGATACCAGCATGTTGCCCAGTGTAGAGGTTTTGTCATCTCACAGATACCAGCATGTTGCCCAGTGTAGTGGTTTTGTCGTCTCACAGATACCAGCATGTTGCCCAGTGTAGTGGTTTTGTCGTCTCACTGATACCAGCATGTTGCCCAGTGTAGTGGTTTTGTCGTCTCACAGATACCAGCATGTTGCCCAGTGTCGTGGTTTTGTCGTCTCACTGATACCAGCATGTTGCACAGTGTCGTGGTTTCGTCGTCTCATTGATACCAGATTGTTGCCCAGTGTTGTGGTTTTGTGTATTTATCTTGCACTTTTCGAGTGGCTGGGGTGTTGGATTTGTTCATCATTTTTCAATTTTCTGCTACACCATTTATCAATCTCTTTCTTGGTCTTCCTCTCACTCTTATCCCAGATGTTCTGCTGTAAAAATTATCATATTCAGTTTGGTCTGGCTGTATTCTCACTCGATGGCTGACTGAACCATTTCATTGTTTGTCTGTCAAAATAACCCAGGCATGGTCTTGTCCCGACTTTCTCTCTAATGCTGGTATTTGTAACCCTGTCTCTTCTGGCTCGATTTAGGTCTAGGTTCAGATGACGGATCAACATCACCGCACAAGGGGTAACCCATAAGTGCTCCGTTCTATTTCCAACTCAAGCCTGAGTCCAAAGAATCTCAACGCAGTGCATGTACTCCATAGCACCAGCAAGTATCCTGAAATAATTTGGGTAGATTTCTAACTTAAATTTTGCTGGGGCAGCGTCGTTAGGTTATTTTTTTAAATTTCCAACTGCTGAGATATGTTTTTTAGTGCGTCTGATCTTACTGCCCAGAGACCAGGGAAAATAACTAGATGTCCACGTGAAAAAATCCCAGCCTTCACTGGGGCCTGAACCCGGGACTCCAGCACTCGCGGACTCTATGCTTGATACCACTCAGCCCCGATACTGCTCCATTATTATACCTAATGTGCCTATCTGGTCAGTACGGGATCTGTTTGGCCAAAAACCTACCTGTTCATCTCCAAACTCACACCAGACTATATCTTCAAAATCAGCTTGAATAAATCACAGCCTCTTGCCACAGACCTGTATGCGGACCTGTCCATATGTGGTTCAGGGTACCAGCCTGGAATTCCCGAATGCCACTTTCCACATACGTGGAGCCGTAATGTTATTTACGCCACTAACTGCAAGAGATGTGGCATTAAATACATCGCTGAAACATGTTTTACGATTGGCTGACAGGTTCAGACAACATCTTTTGGACGTGCAGAATGGCGCACTGAAACCAGTACCACTGCATTTCGATTCCCAGGACCACCAAGGTGCCCACGACATGGAGGTGACAGCCATTAAATCTAGCCACTCTAGCGACAGAGTTCGTAAGTCTCTTGAAAAATCGCTTTATATGCACTTTGGGAACTCTGGCACCAAGTGGACGAAACTGCCAACACAGCTTCACCTTAACCCTAGGGGGCTGAACTGCCTATAGTTTCATCTTATCCTCAAGTGATGGCCCCTGGCATATCCCCATATGGTTTTTCCCCGGCCCCACGTGCCTCGCCAGACTATTGTCTTGACATCGACCTGGCTGCCACAAGATATGAAGATAAGTGATATTGTGTATTTGTGTAGTATTGTCTAATCTATGTATGTGCAGAAAAAGGCTCCAAGCCACAACCTTCACGTTTTGTTGGTGTTTATTATTTTATAAAGCTTGCTGATATTTTTTTAGTTTGGTTTTATATCTTTCCCTGAATAAATCACAAACTTTCTGGACAAATCAAACTCACCTGTGGACCCTGAGGGGGCAGAGGTGACCCATGCATGGCATAACCGGCCCCCTGGTTCACCACCAAAACCGCCTGGTTCTGGGCTGGAGCAGAAATGCTGGATGTCACAGACTGATGACTATCGCCTGACTGCTGGGTTGACACTGTCTTGTTGTCAGTCAGCTGCTGGTTGGCAAACTGTCGGGCCCTGTACTCGGCAGCCCGGATCTGCTCCATATGGAACTGCTGCCTCTCTTGCAGCAGCTGCTGACGCTGGTACTCTAGCTGTTAGACAAGAGACGGGAAACTTCAATATCACCTGCCAAAACTAAAGTCTAAGAACAACATAAAACATTCATCAACAGTTACCTCCACAGGGTAAATGGACTTTGGCTAAGTGATAAAGTCGCTTTCTGGCTCATTCGCTATCTGGACAGGAGACATCTTGACAATAGGGACCACTACCTGCCAGTTTGAATGTTCCATTCACTCAGGTGTTGGCCTCTGGATACCAGTAACACAAATGTTTACAGACACTGGACGTTGCAATTCAAAATCAATTCTCTTCAGAAATTCCTAGCTTTCAAAAGCTGCATTCCTTCAGTTCACAATCGACGTTCCCCTCAGTCACACCCTCAAGCAACCTGCCTCTCACACGATCAAAACACAACTCTACTCTACATCCTCTCTCAGTCCAAAACGTTCGTATCAATCTCACGCTTTTTCCTTACCCCTGTTCTCAGAATACGTGATATTCTTCTAAACTTGCTTTTTTCACATGCCACTGGTTTTCTTGGCCTTCTAACATTGGCCCCTCAGCTTGGAAACTCTCTGGGGTTTCCTGGGAATTTGCATTACTGCCGGCTTTGTTCCGATACTTTTCACAGTTTTTTTTAATGTGCACCCAAGTTCAACAAATCTGGCTTATTTGTGTGCAGATTGTCATTCCTTGCCTCTCTGGCAGATGCACTCTGGCTCCTAATTAGGAGTTTATTTTTGGACTGGGTCTTATTTTCGAAGGGAGCCACCTTTGATTGGAAGGTCAAGAGTTTGGGTCCTGATGGGGGACAGACTTTAAAATAAAATTACCTTGGCGCCCAGGTCAGCCCAGGGAAGTAAAAGCGACCGGGGTGATGCTGACCACATCCCCTACCAAGTGCCAGTTAGTCTGTAAAATATAGGTCTAGCCCTATATGCCTAGTAACCTGATGCACGGAAAAGATCATTCACTTACTTATCAGAAATGTGGTACAATTTTTAAAAAATTTAAAAAGTCTGTGGGCTGTGGACGAACGTGATGACCAACACCACACGGCACGGACTATTCGAGGATTTTTAAAATGAAAAACATTCTTTGTGTGAATACTTACAGATTCTCCTTCCTTATCCATGATAGTCTCCAGCTCCTCAAAATGGCGGAGTTTGATTTCCAGTTTCTTCATCTGCGTCTCCACCAACAGCGCCACTAGCCCTTTGATCTTCCGCTCCTCGATAGCAGCCAGATGCTGTGAAATTGTCAGTTTACGCACATTAACATCACTTATTGGTTAGAAATGGTATTATCAGATAGACTGCGAACAACACCATGCAGCAAATTTATAAGTCGCTAAATCAAATGGTTCGGTCATCAAGTAAGAATGCAGCCAGAATAACTGGTGCTAGGCGTGAAAAGATCTGAAGTGAAAGCAAGAGGTCACCACTCGGAGAAGATGGACTGATGACATTAAAGAGCTTCTACATAAACAAGGAATGACAACAGCCACTGTTGCCTTTCAAGCAATGGATCGTAAACTGTTCCTCCCCTCTCTGCTTAATGGCAGAAGTGGAAACTGATGATGAGGAACATAAGTTAAATCAAGTTAATGGAATGCAGTGATGCATAACAAGCTGAATGTTGTTAAGGTCTTGGTACAAAAAAACCATCACAGTCTCAAGAGAATGTCGCTGTGAGGAGTCAGCAGGGGATCTGGCTGACGCTCAAGCATGAAAAAATTACAATTTACCGATGTACTATTTCCTCTATAAACACGAGGAATGAAAAAGGGCCGACCCTTTTACAAATTTATCGTATAATTCTATACACCGGAAACATGAAAGGGAGCCCTTTCTTCAGTTATGACACATTGTCCACAATTTAAGGCACGAACTATGTGTTACTGTGCTGGCTGCAGTATTAAAATGTGTCGCGTGATTGTAAAGTGTCAAACAGAAGAATCTGCAGGCAAGCCAGCAGACAGGACTATAGCTGAGTGCATACAGCACAGCCAAATTGCGTTTTACAATTTTATGGCATATTTAAATCTGTAACTGTGTTTCATTAGTTACTGGCTTTTAATTGTTTAAAAGTACGTCAAAGACTCTTACACAAATTTGTGTAAGTTTTAACAAATTTATTTTTTATTTGAGTGAATTAGCGTGTGTGTCCATACATCTTATAAGTCTTGGGTAGTTAGCATCCTTTGGATATTTTCTCCCGGTTATGCCGGTGTGTTGGGAAATGAGCAGGCGGATAGAGTGGGTGGTTCTGCACCACCTGGTAGCGAATTGATATATGACAAGCTAGATGTTGTGAGGGCCCTTTGGGAGCGAGTGAACAGTGCAGAGGAACAGATAGATCATTACGGTCTGAAGAGAATGGCACTGTGAGGAATTACAAGGGGATCTGGCCAACGCTCGACACTCAGGGGAAAGGCGGGATGGATATACAATCAGACAGTTACTGGTACCATCAGAATTTTAACTCTTTGCTTGCTGCTGAAGATGGGGACAGAGCGCTTATCGGGGTGTCCCGAGCACGGTGATGTTGATTCTTAATCCAACATTCAACAAGCTCTTATAATTCATTAGTTAAACCAAGAAAAGTTGGGGAAGCTCTGAATTAAGGCCTGAATAATTTTTTTCAAACTATTACATCCATCCCTGCATGCTCTTCCAGCAGTGTCTCCCTGAGACTTCCTTCTGACTGTTACTAGAACAAACAAGAATGATTCCTACCTTAGCTTTCACGGCTGCTGCAGCAAGAGCTGCCGCTGCTGCTGTGGACACCACTGAAGCATCATCTTCCTTGGGTCTATCATCTCCTGTGGTAGCTGCAGTCTTTTCCTTTTCTGGCAACTCCTGAGCTTTGCCATCCTCCTTTGCAGCTTCAGATGATGATCTGGCACCTTCATCCTCCTCTTCGTCGCCACCTGCTGTTTCACTGCCCTTTTCTGAACCCTGGTTAACGAGCACAAATATTAAAGTGTACTCATGTCAAATATTTTCAGACTGCTGATGGACTTTGAAAAAAGGGGGACAAAAGGAAGGAATACAGAAAAAAATGAATGAAAGAAAGAAACCAGGTGCAAGAAAGAACATCAAGAAAATAATAGATAAAGTTGTAAATAAACGCAAGAACTTAAGAAAAGAAAATTTAAAGCAAAAACAAAAAACATCAACAGCAAAAAGTCCTTTGTAACAACTTACCTTTGACTCATCTTCATTTGTCTTATCCTTGATCTCCTCCTTTCTTTCTTCCATCTTCTCAACCTTCACCTTGCCAACATCAGCCTCTTCACAAGGCTGTCAACACAAATGAAAACATGACCACAATGTCCACCATAAATGCTTGCAAACTCCCTGTGTGAGCTCTTAGGCCCCGCTGCTTCTTAAAAAGCATGTCAAAAGAGTTGACTAACTGGGGACTTCCTTCGAAGTCGGAGTGCCTCTGCCTGAGAGTCAAGGAAACAACAATCTGGATACAAATCAGATCTGTAAAACAGATGTGCATGCAACACTCAGGTTCTGGAGCAGGACTAAATTCCAGAGTTGAATGAACAACCAGAACTTTCCGCCGGAGTTGAGACGGTGAATGTGAAGAGGAAAAGAAGATGCGTGCAAACAATCTCAGTTCCCATTAAGAGCATATTCATTACATGGGATGATCCCTGTATGGGTTCTGGACCGTTATTATGGGGAAAACAAGAATAGACCCACTGACTCCTCATGAAGCATGGTATTTAATCGTATTAGTTGGGTTGAAAGTCACTCACAGAGAAGCTTCAAGAGCTGTCATGCATCTGATGCAGAGGTGTACTTGTTTTTTTTTAAGAGTGATGGAGACATGGAAATGTGCGGCCGGGGGGGGGGGGGGGGGGGGGGGGGGGGTCGTGCGATTTGAGGGATTTAGGGTCGCATGGCTAGGTGCTGTTGCCATGCACTGTGCAGGTTTGGATGTTTATTTCTGCTCCAGACGGAAACATTTCCTTTTTTTAAGAGGGGCTCAAACTCGGGTCTCCTGCCTGCTGTTGTAACCGTCCCACCAGCCACTCCCCAGAGGTGTAGCATTAGGTCTTCATACTGCTGCATGTCTACAAGGTCATCCTTCAAAATGGGCTCCTAAATGGAGTCTGACCAATAAAGACCTTTATGCATCCTGAGGGGCAAGAAACCAACAGTCTGCACACACTTCACTGAGGTGTAACATTAGACTTCATACTCCCGTGTATCTACAAATTCATCCTTCAAAATGGGTTCCCAAGTAGGGGTATGACCAATAAAGACAGGAGTGACATTTCCTTCATAGCATCTGCCTGATAGGCAAGGAACCAACAGTCTGCACACTCTGGAGAGGTGTAGCATTAGACTTCATACTGCTGCATGTCTACAAGGTCATCCTTCAAAATGGCTTCCCAAATGGAGTCTGACTAATTAAGACCTGTATGCATCCTGAGGGGGCAAGAAACCAACAGTCTGCACACACTCCACGGGGGAGTAACATTAGACTTCATACTGCCACGTGTCTACAAGGTCATACTTCAAAATGGGTTCCCAAGTAGGGGCATGACCAATAAAGACATTTCCTTCATAGCATCTGCCCAAGAGGCAAGGAACCAACAGTCTGCACACTATACAGCACCAGCAATGATCGCTAGAGATCTGTGTAAAAGCCGCACCCAGGAACCTAATGGCAGTCCACCAAATGAAAGCACCACCCAGCACAGTGCAGTGCCAATAACTCATCCACTTAGTCACGGAAACCCGCTGGACTCAACAGATTCAGATCAAGAGATTATAACTGCCTGTTTAAGTACAGTGAGAGAATAAAGAGAGCACGGGAGTACTCACCCTCTTCTGCTCATTTTCCTTCAAGCTCTTCTGTCTTTCCGCAGATTCATCCCTCAGTGTTTCTGAAATGACAGAAACAGTGTTAAGGTTGAAACTGAATGGAATGCCCACCAAAATCTCTCACACACACAGAGAGAAAGAGAGAGAGAGAGAGAGAGAGAGAGAGAGAGAGAGAGAGAGAGAGAGAGAGAGAGAGAGAGAGAGAGAGAGAGAGAGAGAGAGAGAGAGAGATAGAGAGAGAGAGAGAGAGAGAGAGAGGGAGAAAGAGAGGGAGACAGCATACTTGTGTGTGTAGAGTTTAGCTGAGACCTCACATATAATACTCCAGGAAAGTTCTCATAAACACTCAATCCATATCTTCAGCAGCCAGCTCAATAGTACTAGTAGCAGCCTGATTGTATGTCTGTCTTGCCTTGCCCCTGAGTGTCAGCCAGACCCCCTGGTCACCCTCCACTACACCGTTCTCTTGCCTCTGTCATGATCCTTTGTACCTCCCCAATGTCCACGCTACCCCAAATGCTAAAAGATGTTATTTTTTTCTAAAACCACCCCTTGTGGAAATCAAATCCTGGTCCAGATCCCAGTTTCTGCATTCCAACGGAAACCAAGCAGAGAATGGACCAGGAGAAGACATTCCTCTCACCACAGACTTCACAGAGACTTATCTTATCTGACACCACTAGTAGGGAGAACGAACAGAAAAAGAAATCCGGGTACATTGTGGATTGTGAATAATGCTTACTTCAAAGTCACAGAGCCGCGCTATGTGAAGATCCCATAAAGCCAAAATTGCCAAAGGAAACTACTCTATGTGAAGATCCCATAAAAGCAAAATGGCCAAAGGAAACTCCTCTATGAAGATCCCATAAAACCAAAATGGCGAAAGGAAACTCCTCTATGAAGATGCCATAAAACCAAAATGGCCAAAGGAAACTGCTCTATGTAAAGATCTCATAAAACCAAAACGGCCAAAGGAAACTGCTCTATGTAAAGATCCCATAAAGCCAAAATGGCCAAAGGAAACTACTCTATGTAAAGATCCCATAAAGCCAAAATGGCCAAAGGATAGCCAAAGGAAACTACTCTATGTAAAGATCCTATAAAACCAAAATGGCCAAAGGAAACTGCTCTATGATTCATTTGCATAGAGAGGAAGCGGGAAGAAATTAATAAGGATGGACAACAATCAGAAAACGTAACAATATGCAGGTCAGTTTCACCACAAGAACCTTTATTCATGTGTGAAATCACTTTGATGCTATACCATACAAGGCATATAGGAAAAGACGAAAAGGATGTAGAGCAAGAGGCAGACCAAGAACAAGATGGGAAGATAACAACAGAGAAACACTATGGCACTACAATGTGTCTATGGTTGAAGCAGCCAGAAGAGCACGAAGCAGGACCTTATATCTCCCTCGACACCTGAAGTGGTAATAGAGGACATAAAGAAGAGCAAGAAATCCGGCATCCCTGGTCAACAAATGCTGAAAGGCACAAATATCACAGCTTTGCTGTAAACAGGCAAAACCCCACTTTCGTCACTCGGACAAAATGGAAGAGGGTGGGGGGCCCGGCCTACTGCCCCTAAAACAATCATGACCTAAAAGGTTATTGTGCTGGACTGAAAGGCAACATTACTGCAGCCTAGCTGTAAACCATGTGTCAACTGTAATTTTCAGGGCAAATATAGTAGGAGAAGAAGGAGGAGACGTAGCAGGTACAGCAGCAGCAGCAGAAGAGGAAGAAGAAGAAGGAGGAGGAGGGGCAGCAGAATAAGAGGAAAAGAAGAGTCGAAGAAGAGGAGCAGGAGGAAGGAGATTGGCTAAGCCATACCTGTGCCAGCAATGCCACTTTTATCAAGGCCGTATGAGGGATCTGATGTCCTTCCTTCCTTGGTTGCATTGACAACAGTCCTAACGTGAGCATCGACGATGGATGGCGGTACCTCATCCTTCATTTTGGAGAACTCCTCTGGAAAAACATTAAACATAATCTCGTTGAGAGCATGAAAACTGTTTTCATTTTGCCTTATTTGCAGTATATTAAAACACAAACACAGACTCAAAGTAAACTATTAGCATGCTTACAGCCGAGTGAGTAAACAAAAAAACTTTTTAAAACATCAAACTGCACGTGTTTTTCATGGTTATTTCACTTTCAACAGTGTAGGCACTGGTCTGCTGTACATGTGAACTGATTTACAAATAATCATTATGCATGTGCCAGTTACTGTATATTCTATATTTCAGGGGTACAGAAATTATTAGGGAGCCGCCGTGGTCTAGTGGCTGGACGCTTGACTGCGGATTAAAAGGTCGTGGGTTCGGTTCCTGACGAGAGCCGGATTTTTTGTTTAAAAATGACCTTGGCTCCCAGGTCAACCTAGTCTTGAGATGGTACCAGGTACATGTCTTGGGAAGTAAAGACGTCCGGCGTGATGCTGACCACATCACCGACCAAGCGCCGTTTGGTCTATAAATTCTAGGTCTAGCTCTATATATCAAATACACCTGAAAGGCCTGTAAAAGGGTCCTTTACTTTTGACTTTTACAGAAATTATTGTAAAATTATTAGTACATTGGAAATCTAAAGCTATATGCAAAACTTCATGTTGATTCCTACAGGGGTTTTCAAAATGTTTGTTAAAGCGAGAAGGCACGGTTTATTAAACGTACTATAGTGCGCATATGCATTTGATCTCAGTAACAAAGTGGTTCCCATGTTTGTATAATACTGTGAAGATCACAGTTCTGTTTCATACTCTACCTTTTGGTTAACTCGTGCAGGTGTTCGGTGATCACTAGTGATCTTTGACACCGCTATGCAGCTTTGTTCTCTTTTGTACAACACTTTCGCTGTTCAATAGTTTGGGCTGCCTTTTCAACATACACATGGCTACAAAGTCTGTTGTGTCTAGTTTAGTCATTATTGAGGATTATCTTTGCAGCACTGCGGACAGCTTTACAGTGTTCAAATCTCCTCAGTAGCTCTATAAGCGTAAAACAACCAATGACGCCTGTTCTGTAGTGATTAATCAAACATCTTGTCTCCTTGGTAAACTGTCCATTTCTTTCAGCTCCAGGTGTCCTCCCCACGTCCCTCAGCCTAAACAGGAGAGATATGCCTTTTGCTGTATTCGTCTTTGCGATACATGCTGGTCATGGCACTGATAAAGCTTCTGCCCTGTACAGTGCTAGCCATAGCAACCGCAGTGTCAGCAAGATAATGGCACAGTCACTGCCTTGAACACCAGGCACAAAGAAGAATGTTAGGCCAGCCTTTCACAAAGTCCTCAGTGCCTCAATCCATTCTTAGCTGATGAATCCAACCTGAATTTTTTTTACGCCTATTCATTGAGTCAACGAGGAGCGGCTGGCCAAACGGTAAGAACGCTGGGCTCTCGAGTGGGA